CGGTCGAGAGGACCGAAGGGGAGACCAGCACCCAGATATGCTAGTCAGTGTCCGGTCGAGAGGACCGAAGAGGAGGCAAGCTTCTAGATATACTGGTCAGTATCCGGTCGAGAGGACCGAAGGGGTAGGTCTGGCACCCAGATATGCCTGACAATATTTGTATGTTATGTGATTGTATGGTATGTGGTATGTTGGGGGAACTCACTACGCTTCGTGCTTACAGTTTTCAGTTTTGATTTCAGGTACTTCTTATTCAAAGGGGAAGGAGCTGGTGCGGTAGCAGCCCATCACACACACGCCTTGTATTCCGCACTGTGAGACCCTCCTGGGAATTTGTACTCTAAATTTATTATGTTTTTATGAAATGTTTTTCAAGACATGCGATAACTTTTATGAAATGATATGATCAGTGAACATTTTATTTTTAAGGTTCGCTAAGAATATGTTTTAAAAATGAAATTTTTGACTCATATTTTTGGGATGTTACAATATAACTTAATAAGCATTTACCTCCAAATGTTGAATTTTAAGAGGTACAACCCTTAGAACATCATATACAATCAATTTATGCATTACCTTAAAAATACATCTTATCTAGTGAAAGTTAACTAAGGGGGGTGTTTGGCTTATCTTTTGAGGGGCCAAAAGTTCTTTTTAGAAAAGATAGAATGCAAAAGATGCTTGGGAACACCATTTTAAAAATTACTTTTTGATTTTTTATATAAGGAAAAGTGACTGTTTGGAAAAGTCAGAAAATAGTGTCTTTTTGTAACTTTTATCAAAAGCACTTTTGGCTCCCAAAACACAAGCCAAACACTCCCTAAATCCCCTTATCTCTTGAAGACTTTGACCAAATAAGTTGTCTTGAAGCCGAGATCCTGGCAAAAAATCTTTCGATTCTGGCCAACCCTCCCTTTATATTTGTCACTCTCTCCTATGTTGATATCATTTTCCGTTTCTCTTCTACAAAGCAGTTTTTCTTCCTTTCTCAGTCATAAAACCCTAACACCACTCACTACCACCGTTTACCCCTTCTACCACTGAAACCACCAACATACTGATGGACCCTCTTCTATTCTATCTCGGCTAAAAATAGGTAAAACACCCCTTACTACTCTATCTATCTCTCTTTATCTGTGTGTGTTTTCAATAACAAGACCAAACTTATTTGATTTCGCATTTCATAGATTAAGCAGCGACTTATTTTCCCAATTGGTTGTTGTTCTTTACGATTTGGTTATCTAAAACATCCTTTGACCTCCTGTGTTTCTGACTTCTTTATCAGTGCGACAACCTCCACATGGTAAAAGATATCAAAATCACCTCCTACTATTCTTTCTTGCTGCATTTCTATTTTTATGTTTGATAGATTTCAATTTTTTGGGGTTCTGACTAATCATTAGGGCTAAAAACAGGTTATATTAAGAAATTATGTTTTCAAAGGTCAGAGTCTACATCAACCTTTTGGATTATAAGGTTTGCTTGCTTCATTTTCATGTTTAAAGGTTTGGAATTCTTGAACATAAAGGTGTTGTTGCTTCATTTTCTGCTTAAACCTTTTGATTTTATGTATTTTTTCATAAATATTGTAAACAAGATGCATTTTGTTTTCTAATTTTTTTTTAATAATCCTTGGATGCTCTTCTTAAAGAGGTGAAGATCTATAAACATTTTTGAATTTTGTTATTTGGAACTTATTTGGGGATTATTTGGGGTTCAGTGAACATTTAAGAAGCTCATAAGGGTTAATTCATGGGTTTTCTTCTCTTCTTTATTACTCCTTATGCATCTTCTGTTATCTCTCTCTTTTTCTGGTTTCGATCACAAATACTCACATCTACACACCATCTTTTGGTTTTAGGTGTTTTGAGTAGATCTGAAAATTCTTTACTGCGCCACCATTTTTTCATTTCCTTATACATAAAAGTTGGTTTTCAAATGAATTATAAAAAGAAAGTTTAAATATACTGAAATTTATTCACCTTCTTTTATTTTAGTTTTGCTTTGTTTTAATCAGAAAAAAAATATTTACATAAGGTGATTTTTTGATTGCTCATTACTTTTTTTTTTTTTTGAAGGGGAGCTGGAGTCTACCATTGTAGAAATAAAAGAAAGCTACAAGAAGTTGCTTTTCCCAAGAAGCATGAAGATGCTATGAAGAGGCTCTTTTTCGAATAAAGCATTGTGGTGTGTAATGTGCTACTCCTACGCGACAATGTTTACATAGTTAAATCCAAAGCTCCCCACTGTATATGAAGAAAAAAATTATTCTGTAGAATTTAAAAACTTAATCCGATATTTTAAATGTATAGGATTAGCTTCTTGACGTATGTATGCCTTTGAAATATAATTTTCCATTATCTTTTTATGTTGTGCAATTTGGGGATTCTTTAATGTATAAATATGCATGAGACATTAATTATTTCATGCACCTATTGTATTAGTGTTTAGATATCTTTTAATTGTAATTTTGATATATATATATATATATATATATATATATATATATATATATATATATATATATATATATATATATAATCCGAAAGTAAATTTAATATTATTTCTGTAGAAAAAAGAATTATTAAATGGTTCTTTTAACCCAAAATAAAGAAAACAAGACAGAATAACAAAAACATACTTTTCTTTTTTAATCAGCAAAAGTATTTTGACCCAAAATAGCAAAATACATATAATTTTAAATCAAAACAAAAACATATTTATATTTGAAGTCCAAAAAGCAAATCGTCTTTGGAAACTAATTTTCGTAAAAATTATTAATATATGTCGCTTAGCGCGGATAAACGGCTAGTGTATATATATATATATATATATATATATATATATAGGGCTAGCTTATATTGTTGTTTATATTTATTGTGTGCTAGAATGCACCAATAGGAATTTAGTAAATTAAATAATTATTTAATTATATATATATATATATATATATATATATATGAAAGGATTTCCATAATTATATGTATATTAAATGATATCTATAATTATAATTCTTTTTTATAGAAACTAATTAAATTCGTCATTAATGTCAGCAATAACATTCTTTCAGAATGAATTCACATCTAGGTTTTTATATATGAGTTCATATTTTGCTTCAGGGTTCACTTATTTAAAATACAATAAAGTTGCATTAAATATGAAGAACGAGATTGTATTTTACTAAAATACACTATCATTGTTCTATTACACTCTCGTTTTGCTGGAATACACTTTCATTGTTCTAAATATGAATTTAATCTAAAAGAATATTATTGTTGACATTAATGATGAATTTAATTGGTTTTCATAAAAATGAGTTATAAGTATAGATAACATTGAATATACATATAATTAATACTAAATTCTTATAGGTGCATTTTAGCACACAATAGATATGAAAAACATTTGACATACAAAACCTATTATGGAGGCGTGTTAAATTATAGTTATATTCTAATTTTCTATTTATATATTTCATATGGCCTTATTATAAATAATGTATTTATAGATCGAAATCTATAGCATGCGACCAAATTAATGGGTATTCCACACGTTACATATAAAATGAATAATTTAAGCGGAATATATAAAAGCATCAACAAAGTTTCTATTCGAAAATCTAAGAGCACACTTAATGCATCAACAAAGTTTCTATTCGAAAATCTAAGAACACATTTAATGCATCAACAAAGTTTCTATTCACCAAAGGGCTTTTGGCTTGGGTATCAATGTGTTAAATAGGTATTCTTCTCCTAAGGGGTTTGAGAGTTCATGTCACATCGTGCACAAAAAATATAGGTCAGGATTAAGATTTAGAGGGTATCTGTTTTAGCGGTTCAAAAAAAAAAAAACAAAGTTTCAATTCCAAAATCTAATAAAAGCAGATTTAGTTTTTGTAAATCTCTTACTCTACTATAGTTTGACTATATATTGTTGCAACTTGAAGGACCATATTTTGCTTTCCTGACATGAATAAAATATGTTTATACAAAGTTTTGGATAATGGTAGACAAAAGAAATACAAATATATTTATACAAAGTCTTGTATAATGGTAGAGAAAAGAAATACAAATATATCAACAAGATATCGACATATCAATCGACAATATTAATAACTATCATGCTTCATTGATCTTCAACGGTGAAAACACTTGGCTCTCATTTAGATAATTCGAAATCCGAGCTATCATTCATCTCATAATCATCATTAAGTTGTGATGGCAACTGATCAGTTATTGATATCGGCAACTGAAATGATGTATTTATCGTGGTATCAACATACGAATTTCGATCCACCGACATTAATTGAAGTTTCAACACGTATTCTAAATCCCACAACAAATCAAGCATACTTGGCCTTTCATCACCTGTTTCTTTCAAACATCTCTCAACTATTTCCACAAATTTCCTTAACGAGTCCTGACTAATCGTACTCGCAAGAAATGGATCAATTATTTTATCATCATTCCCTATTTTTATTTGTTCACTACAAGAAAATTTCAATTTAGCTACGGAAAAATTCCATAGCAAAAAGTTGAAATTTCGTAGCTAAAGCTGAATAACTACGGAATTTGTTACACAATTTATCAATTAGATTCCGTAGCTTTTTTTCTCGTAGCAAACTGTTTAGCTATGGAATTATATTTCCGTAGCAATTTTGCAATGGCAGTTTCTACGATATGTATTTCGTTGCAATTTGAGTTCCATAGCAAATTCCGTAGCCGTCTGTTCCGTGGCAAATTCCGTAGCCGTCTGTTCCGTGGCAAATTCCGTCGCCGTCTGTTACGTAGCAAATTCCGTAGCCGTCTGTTCCGTAGCAAATTCCGTAGCCGTCTGTTCCGTAGCAAATTCCGTAGCCGCCTGTTCCGTGGCAAATTCCGTAGCTGTCTACTCTGTAGCAAATTCCGTAGCGAATTTCATAGCTATTTGTTCAACAATTTGTTCAATAGCAATGTGTTCTAAAGCAAATTCGGTTTGATAAATATATTCAACAACATCCAATTTTCCAATTATAATATTCATAAAAATATATAAAAGTATAGTAAAGTATAGTAAATATAAATTTAATAGTTACATTGATTTTATAGATATATTATATCATCGAAAATTATTCTACAAGGTTGTCTAATCATCAAAACTGATACTAATTACAAATACAACCAAACAATGTAGATTTGAACCGCCACGTATGCTCAACCACATATGCTCAACCAAAATGGCAAAACCTGCAAAATCAAATTTACAATCGACTTGATTTAAATTCAATCTTATGTATGAAATCCCATTTTGTTTTGCTTTGAGGGTTTCCCTAATTTTTAACCAACTAGAAATATTAAATCTAAAAATTAACACAAAATAAAAACAACAATCCAACTCTTTTATTTGAAATACTATTAACAAACAAAATGAATCACCTTTTGAGAACCATCAAATCCAACAATAGCATGTTTGTTTTTTCTCTTTCCAATCTGTCACATGGTGTCAAAAGGATATGAAACTGTCACATGATGTTAAGAGGATTTGAAAAAAGTTGAAAGACAAATGATAATAGATTGATCATTGACATCTAAATAGTGATTATTGACTTATTTTTATAACACTTGATTCTCTATTATAAAAAGTAAAAAAAACTAAACCTAGATAATGATCTTATCTATTTTAGCATCCTACTTTTTACTTTGAAAACTTACCTAATTATAGCAATGTGATCTAAATACAAAAAACTAAAAGTATAATGCAAATACTTTAATGAAAGTAGATTGCTATTTTTTGCATTTAGGCTTAGCCCTTTAAAAATGAAAAAAATTAAAAAAATAATAACAACTTATTTTTAGGATTAGCCCCTTTTAAACTCAAAATGGAACTATTTTCTAAAGTACAATGTCATAATAAGTATAAAAGATAAAACACAAAGCTTAAACATGATGGTTTTGTTATCACCTGGAGCAGAGTGGAGTGGAGTGGAACCTAAGCTAAGAAACTTTATCTCAAGAAGTAGAGTGGAGCAGAACCTGGAACAAAGAAAAACACACAATCAAGAGATATATCAATTTTTCTATGCTTATAAGTAGATTGTAAATCACATAGATTTTCTTTTCAACCATGGGGAAGTATCTATAGGAGCATAGGTGGTGTTTGATAGAAGAAGAAGTGTTAGAGTGAATGAGAGGTACTTGAATGTGCGTCTAAAATGATTATTGCATGTTAAAGCTTGTTTGGCAACTGGTACAGATTAAGATTTTGATTTTCTGATTATTAAGGTCAAAATAAACTCTAATCTAAAAACGTAACCATAAACCCAAATTAATATCGGTTTTTAACCGAATTGAAGTAGAAATCCTCATTCCATGATGAAACGAAATTAAATGAAATTATCAGAACAAGATAACTGCGCCAAATCTAACAAGATCAACATGCAAAATGTGATGTTTTTCTGTCCAATTTAATATGATGAGAGAAGACCTACTTTACAGTGATCATAAGCTTAAGGGATAAAATACATAGCATAGCGAACAAAGTTATGATGCAAAAACACGAAAAACAGATCAGGAATGGATACTGAATTATATTTTTGGAATATTAAATGCGAAACAGGAATGCAATCAAATTCACCAATAAAAACTTGAATCCAGCTGTGTGTATGGATTGGTAGACTTAACAGAACATTAACTCGCTTCAGATTCAATGGATAGATTAATAGATCCTTAAGGTCATTGGATGATACAAAGAGAAAACAGAGAAATAGAACGGGGAAGAACGTTACCTGGTAGGGAGGAAGACGATCGAGAAAAATCTATCAATTGAAGGAGCAAGCGGCGAACGACATAGCAAACAAGAGTGAGAGGATCCCCTATAGAGCGAAGTCCGATCGATAATGGCGTAAGGGAAGATTGGGGTAAAACCGCAGAATGATGAATGAGGAGTTAGGTCAAAATAAAGAGCAAAAATTCCACCTACAAAATAATTCAGCCGTTCACTAGTCGAAATTTAACACAAATATCTATTTATTTAATTCATTTGGTGATTTCATTATACACGTTAGAAGATAATTAAAGATTTTTTTTTAAATATAAAAAGAAATTCAATGACTTCATTAATTTGTTATGCGTAAAATATTTATCTTACGATCTCCTATTCATTTATTTATTATCATAATGACTTCATTAAGTTGTTTATAGTTGTAATTGCGTGTGATTTTGGGGAACATGTATGTGAAGGCGTGTGCACTAAGTTCATCAAGTTGTTCACGTTCAATAAAAAAACTAATATATAAAATTGGAAATTAAAAATGGTGAAAGAACCATCCATATTTAATTTGGGATTAGGTGTACTAATCCTCTAGATTAGCTATTAATCTCTTTTAGATTTATATTGAGACGAGTTTTCGGAGAGGGTCATATCGATTATGCAGAGACCATGTATCATTTAGGGAAGGTAATATAATCGGATATCTTTACCTTTTTTATTCCATTTTTTTTATATATTTCTTCTCTGCATATTTTTTTTCATCATTTTTTTTCATTGCATAATGTAAAAGAAAAATTAAATTGATTCCTACTTTTTATACCTACAAATATGCCTACCCAATAAAATTATGACAAGTATCATCTTTCCATATTTTTTAAACTAAATCATTAAAACTATATTAGGAATATATCAAATACAATTAAATTGAATGGTGATTTGTCATAATTTTAGTAGGTAGGAATAATTGTAGGAATAAAAGGTAGGAGACAATTTAATTTCTCTGTAAAATACTTGTATTTTCATCATTTTCTTGATTTAGTCCCTTAACTTTATCTTTTGTAGTGATTAAACCATTACACTTTTTTGATGGTTTAAAAAACCATCTTTCTCGTTTAATCAGTTTTGAAAATGGAGAAAGAACCATTACATTGTTGATTTATTTGTATTATATTATTACAATATTTGTACATATTTATTACATTAGTTTATTTTTTTATAAGTATATTTGATTTTAACCAAAACTAAATATTTAAAAGTTAAAAGGTAATAACACACTAAAAAGTTAGCAACAAAATGTAAGGTATATAAAAGCTATTATGAAATTTCCTCTGTTGTTCTTCCACTAGTTTTTAACGCTTCCTTTCCTGTTTACAAATTAGAATAATTACACAAATATGTTACTACAAACACTAATTTCATGTTGTGTTGAATCAATATGACATTTAATTCTTTTGCACAAACTAGAACCCAAGTTTTTGTACTGCTTAATTCACCTTTTTGGTTGGATTAGATGTTGCAAATATGTTGCTACAAGCACTACTTTCATGTTGGGTTTGTTACATGGGACAGGAACCTTTCTAGGGATATTTTGAATCAAAAGGGTATTTACGTCTTTTGCATAAACACAAATCAAGACCCGAGTTTCTGTCCCACTTGATTTAACTTTTTGGGTGGGATAAATACTGTAATTTTTATACGGTTAATCTTTCTAAGGATATTTCTGGTTATGAGAATGAGAAGGGCATTAACGTCTTTTGTCCCACCTTTTTGCTTTGGATTAAAAACTATTTTGTCCCATTGACATGAGTTTTGATCAAGTCCAATGTTTTCAAAAGCATTTACTGTCTTTTTCTAAACGAGTGGAAAGCAAGTCTTTAGCCGCATCTTGTTCCAACTTTTTTGGTTGGACAAAAGATATGCATTTTTTCCTATTGATTGTGAAAATGAAGCTGAATCTGGATGTATTAAAAAGTTTAGGTCGAGAAAATGCATGATTCAAAGGTGTGTGGTTTTATTGTTAAATTAAATATTACAATAAAAATTATATTTATATTTATATATATTAATAAATAAAACAATGAACATTTTTTCTTATTATTGTTCAAATAGAAAGCTCATGTGAAAGCTAGATGGGTAGTGGGGTTATGATAAATGTGGGATGTGTTTTCTATTATTCAAAATTAAAAGAAAAAAGAATTACAAATATTATAAAAAAAAATTAAGGGTAAAAATAGTTATGAAGTTTTATTCAGTTTTTTTAGCAAAATTACATAGCATAATAGTAATGGAATTTCATTTCGTAGCAAAATAGCTATAGAATTTGTTTTTGTAACTAAATTCCATAGCAAAATAGTTATGGAATATCATTTTGTAGCAAAATAGCTACGAAATTTAGTTTCGTATTAATTTTCATAGTAGAATAGCTATAAAATTTTATTTGGTAGCAAAATAGCTACGAAATTCATTTCCGTAACTAAATTATGTAGCAAAATAGCTATGGAATATCATTCTGTAACAAAATAGCTACGAAATTTTGTTTTATAGTAATTTCCGTAGCATAATAGCTATGAAATTTCAGTCCGTAGCAAAATAGCTACGAAATTCGTTTCTGTAACTAGATTCCGTAGCAAAATAGCCATGGAATATCATTTTGTAGCAAAATAGCTACGAAATTTTGTTTCGTAGTATTTTCCGTAGCATAATAGCTATGAAATTTCACTCCGTAGCAAAATAGCTACGGAATTCGTTTCTGTAACTAGATTCCGTAGCAAAATAGCCATGGAATATCATTTTGTAGCAAAATAGCTACGTAATTTTGTTTCGTAGTATTTTCTGTAGCAAAATAGCTATGTATTTTAATTTCGTAGCAAATTTGGTACCAGACTAACTACGGGTTACAATTCCGTAACAATTTTCCGTACTTAGTTCTAAGTTTGCAACGGAATTTTATTTCGTAGAAATTTTTGTAACGAAAAATCTACGGAAAATCATTTTGTAACATATTTCGTAGCAAAATAGCTATGAAATATGATTTTGTAGCACTTTTCCGTAGCTAAATTGAAATTTTCTTGTAGTGGTTTAATCGCCCAACCGGCCAAATTCATTTCCTTTACGGGAAGTCTGTGGTCAAGTGCAGGCCTTGCGCATAACACTTCAAGCAACACCACACCGAATGAGTAAACATCTGACTTTTGAGTCAGTTTCATACATCTAACGTACTCAGGATCCAAATACCCAAAACTCCCTTTCACATCCGACATTTCGCCTTCGTTCACATTATCCAACCGTGATATCCAAAAATCTGCGACTTTCGCGACATAATGTTCATTTAACAAAATGTTCGTTGATTTAACATCACGATGAATAATCCCGGCTTTTGAACATGTATGAAGGTAGTGCAACCCTCGGGTTGCACTGATACAGATCTCAAGCCTCTGTTCCCATGAGAGTCTTGGGAGATCTGTACTATTACCGTATAGATGATCTTGAAGAGTGCCATTCTCCATAAACTCGTATACGAGTAACATTTCACTATTTTCATCACAATAACCAATCAACGAAACTAAATGTTTGTGGCGGATCTGTGAAAACACCATGATTTCCGTGATGAATTCTTGCCGGCCTTGACCGTGTCCTTGTTGGCCTCGTTTGACAGCCACTTTGGTTCCATGAAGTGTTCCTTTGTACACCTTCCCGAAACCTCCTCGACCAATTATTAAATTTTCGTCGAAATTATCTGTTGCTTGTAATATGTCGTCAAATGAGACCCTAAGATTGAAGTCAACGTTTATGCTTGTGTGAAACTCTGGTTTTGCTCCGACCACCACCTGCTTTTGTTTTCCATATCTTGATCCGATGAAGAAACCTGCTAATAAAACAAGTAGAAAAGCTACACCTGCAAGAACACATCCAACCACGATGAATACACTCCTTCCCTTCTTCTTCGCCGGATCACGCACACCGGAGTTTTTCAACATCTCCATGATCTCGACTCCGTTCAAGAACACCGGCTGATTGTTACCACGAATTGCGCCAATACTGATATTCAAACGATCTGAATCAGTAGACTCCACCACCAAATCAAGATAAAACGGAGCTTGTAACACATCCATTGTGTTACCCGGTTGAATCTCCTCCTTGTGGTGACTGTAGACAAAGAAGTTGAATGCGTCGTTGGGATCGACGAGGGCTGTGCTTATAATGTCACAGAAATGAACTCGAACCAGGTACATGGCATTCTCATTGACGTTGAAATTCCACGTAATGTTTACCAAACTGTTGGTCGATTGTTTGGCTGTATTGTAAACGTCAGCAGGTCTCCAGGTTCTTCTTAAGGTGTCACGATCTACGTTGATCGTTTGTCCTCCTACGTTAACTCTATGGATTGGGTTGAAAGCATAATCCGATGTTAAGTTATCCAGATAACCAATTTTTCCGGCTGGTGAAAAACGTGGGAAACTGGGAGTGGGCCTGAATAGATTAGATGGTGTCGTAAAAGCTTCAATGGCGTTTACAAACGCAGAAGATGAGCCACCGGATGGTGTAAACTCGATTCTAAACTTTCGTTCAGACCTAATCGGGAATATAAATTCTCTAATCCAAGTCACGTTGCCCATGCTAAAACCGGATAACATAGAGAAACCGGAGACAGAAACGTCGAGTTTGGAATTGGAAAATTCGAATCCATTAGAAGAGAATTCGGAAAAATGAAGGCGTACCATTACGAAAGTGTTGATTTCATCTGCTTCGAGTTCGTACCATGATTTCTTATTGAAGACTCTTGCACTTCTGTAGATATCGGGCGTGTTGGTTGCCGGGTTGTTGTTTTCTGCGGCCACATGGCCACCGGAGATAGAGAAAGTTGAGGGGTTGACGTCGCCAACGAATTTCCGATTGGTGAAATCGACATCGGAGTTTGATCCACAGTTGATGAAGTAGTGGTCCGGTAACACATACTGGGAGGAAGCAAGTGATAGTGAAGAGAGAAAGATGAGAAGAGAGAAACAAAGGGTGTACGCCATTGAAGAAATTGGAGATTTACTATTTCGAGTGAATAATTATTGGTTTGATTCACGGGACGAAGACGACAACGTGATTGAAGCTTGTTGATGATGACGGCGAAGACCAAGAATCCGGTGGTTGTAAATGGATAGACCGAATAACATTTTATTTTTCTTAATTTTGGGCGTACATATAAAAAATTAAATAATCGGTTTTTTATTATTCAAATTTGTATAGTTTAATATAATCATTCATTCATTTGTATTGTCGTATATGTGCATAGTTACAAGAGTAATCAGAGCAATGGTCCTTGTGGTATAGCTAAGTTCACACTTCCTGTGTTTGTTATTTTATTATGTGAAGTTCATTATAGAAAGAGATGTTTTGCCTTCCTTTTGTCATTTCATCATTTTATTATTAAAATTATTTATTTCTTTTCTCTCAGATTAAAGACCCTAAAGTCTTTTTATTTACCTCCTACAACCCACCGTCCCTAGGCAAAATAAGTGGCACTAATGGAAACTACTCCACCTAGGCAATACATCATCTTGCCATGCTTAAGGAGTGGTGTGGCGTCTGTTAGGAGAGAGAGAGAGAGAGAGAGAGAGAGAGAGAGAGAGAGAGAGAGAGAGAGAGAGAGAGAGAGAGAGAGAGAGAGAGAGAGAGTGTGTGTGTGTGTGTGGAGATGCCGACAAACAAATGGTGTGACTTCAAAATTATCTAGTATGTCATCCTTAGGGGCGGTCTTCCTTTTTTTGGTCATCCATGTCATCCACTTGTCGGAACATCATTTCATATAGCCTTATGCCCCCCAATGTAACGTATATCATGGATATGCACCAATTAAACATCAACGACATGCTCATATCCTCCTCTCCAAAATCTTTTTACTATGGCTAGGGGTGTGGTCATTACACCCTTTGACCTAAACTTCAGTATGTAGATTGAACAATGAGTGTTGACCTACCTCTTCGTCTTCTTCAACAAACATAAGATTAATTAATATTGCTACATGGCCTCCTAAATGTCTAATATTCTTTGAATGATCACTCTTCTTAATGCATAAAGAGAATGGCACACTGCAAAGATAGAGAAATGTTATGTTAAAAAGTGATATCAAGGGATGGTGGGTTATTTCTCTCTGATCCCTAAGTTAGATGTCAAATGAGAAATTGCTAAATTGCTTGTATGAGAAATTTTTACTCTTTTACCAGGATGTGTCATGGTCTTTATTGATGAACGAAAGATTTAGGTTCTTCTTTCATTGATCGGGCTACGCCTTTAACCGAAGGTTGCAAGGGTAGTACCATTCAATATAATAGTATTCTTTTTCTTTGTTTCCTGGGATGTTGCATAAGCATTTGCAAGGATGATTTTCTTCCTATAAATTATTGCCTTACCGTCTGTTATGTTCTGTTGATTTAAGCTACTAAAGGTAGTCGATCTAGTAATCTGTGGGTTTACCGTGTTGGTGAGACCTTCGTTGATGTTATCATATCATTTATGTGTATGAGCTAATCCCCATACAAAATTAAGCCTTTCAACCCAATTGTTAATGGTTGGTGCCAGACACTTTTTAATAATTAGGATTTGAATATCCTTTAATTACCTAGCGTTTTGTGTACGTTATACGCGCTTATAACCGCTCATCATCCTACTTAACTCAGCAGTCTTAAAACCAACTATTATCATTTAACACATATACATAAAGTTTCCAATCCTACAACTATATTATGTTACACCGTAAAGACCTAATGGTCCTGAAGTCTATTGTAGGGTTTCACTTTTAATCACTCAACATCCTACTCAAGTCTTCACCACTCTTAAAACCGTTATTTATAATGCATTTTCACTGAGTTGTTCAGGTTGGGAAACCCGGTGACTTACATAGGGTTTTCAATCCCACAACATGGCATAGAAGAAATGAATTGTATGTTTTAATGAATGCCACGTTATGGAAATGGGTGGCCACGGCGTGGCAGTTGTTCTGGCCTAAGCCCGTAAACTTAGGGTTTCCTCTCATATTTAACAACATTCCTGGAGGATTAGGGCATCCTCTATAACCTCCAACCCTCTACCTAAAAACCCTAGCCCCCCTTAAAGATTTTTGGTTCATTTTAGCATTCTTGGTTCGTTGAAGAAGGAGAAATAAGTGTCTTGGTTCATTAATTCAATTAGCATCATCATCATCATCATCATCATCATCATCATCATTGTAGAGATTAAAATCCTAAAGATCGATAAGATTCAAACAGGAAGTAAAGAACACAAAGATGATCAAACAGATGTTGAATGATTATAAGTCACGCCTCAACATAACTCGATGAAAATTTTCCCCTGTAGAGGCGTGCTAGGGTTTACCAAGATTTCCAAAGATAAAACCTTACCGCTCTATGGTGCACGCATACACTATATTTATACATAAACCCTAAATAATAATACGGTTGGACAAGCCCAATATCGTATACAAAATGGACTAACTATTAAAAGCCCAATGACGCAACATTTAACACCTAACAATCTCCCCATTTGTGTCAATTGAGGCGAGAGATACTTCACTGCTGAGTCTTCGTAATTGTCTTGAAGAGCTTAAGTATCACAGCTAGCAAAGTTCTGTGAAACAAGATATAACACCAAATCATATCTGAAAAATTCTTTTTCACAGTAGCAATATTCAGGCCACACTTGTTAACGATCTCCAAAATATGTTCTAAGTAGGTTGTGGAGAACAAGTGTTTGTCAGGTAAAGTGAATAGGCACTCTTGAAAAGCTTCAGGAACATCAATTCCATGTTGAAACATCACATTCAAGTAGATTGTATCAATCTTACCCACACTCATTTCATTTATGTCACAGGATTTCCTAGTAGGATTTACAATGGGCTTTCGCTTCAAAACTTTAGCAATTTTGATGTCCAGCTTTGCCACTTCGTATATATACGAAACCAACATTCTCTTTATATGATCCAGAATGGGTTCATATTTTTGTTCTTCAATCAGTAGGAGATTGGGCAACAAAATCCAATCATGAGGAATGAGATTTGGCAAGTCAGCGAAAGTGAATTCTTGTGGAGCATTTTCAGAACATCGTGTAACCTTGAACTTTGCATTTATGAAGCCTCCCTGTAACGATTGGCCCTGAAACTTTAACTATCGTTATCTTCTATGCGATCCATATTTAATATTGAGGTTTGGCTTGAGTAAGATAAAAGCCAATTAAGGCTTTATCCACTTTGGTATCAGGAGAGGGGATGGTTGCAATGGATTCAAAACAATAGAAAACAAAGGCTTTCCGTGTAATGGGAATGTCAAATTGGGAATCCTTCATGTTCCCCAAGTCAAATGAACCAACTGGTTGCAACCAGTGAACACTCGGTAATTCTACTGCTTCATGCAATAATTTTTCCAACGTCCATATTGGAAAGAGTGTTTTTCTGCATTCCAACATGTTATGAGCTTCTTTTTCTTTCCCCTGTTTCACTTCAGCTTCTCTCACAATGCGAGCCTTTTCATTCAATTCAAGATCATGAGGTTTTCATTTTAGTTGATCTTATTCTTCTTCATCATCACCCATCGATTCTTTTCCTTTTGAACCCGAAGATACATTAACCTTCAGTTCGTTTTGCTTTGCTTTTTTCCTTACCTTAGCAACTTTATCTTCTCCCCCTTGTTTCGGAGGTACTGGGGCCTCGGAAACACCTTCAAGCCTTTTCATAAGAGTGAGGGAAGGATGAAGCTTATCAGCTAAGTGTCTGTGAATGGTGATTGTCAAAATGGGATCGTGCGCTTCAATAAGATTGAAAAGTAAGGAATTGGCATCACTTATGCATGATTTCATATTCGCTCGTTCAAACTTGAGCTCGTCGATTTCTGTTTTCGCTTGCTTGAGCTTGATTGTTTGAGCATGGAGTTAAGTGGTGCGAAGAACAAGTTCATCCATGAATTTACTTTCAACGGCCAAATCATCTTGGAACTTGGTGAGCGTCTAGGAAATAGAAGAGTGAAAGGTTGTGTTATTAGTAGAGATGCCTGAACGAAGTTGTTCCAATTTTTCACGCTCAATTCTAAGCGAAGTACTAAGTTTCGAAATGGCCTCATTTGCCTTGAAAACATTCGCTTTAGCTGAAGTATTGACCTCCGAGATGAAAATCTTCATGTCTGAGATTAGTTTATCGCCTTTTTCGGTCGCTTGTTGATTGGAAAGTGTGGAGTTCTCAACGGCCTTGTTTGCTAGTATAAAGTTCATTGCATGCTCTTTTACCAGAGTATCAAGCATACTCTTAACTACAGTGTAACAGCCCGAAATCCAGGTATCCTTCTATTTAGCCCTGCATCTTTGATATATTACCATTTAGGGTTTGCATGTTAGGCAAGTACGCTGTGCGTACTCGTGCGCTTCATTTGGACACGTTTACCCTCGGGTACGCTAGGCGTACCCAAGGTTACGCTGGGCGTAACCGGTCCAGACCTAAAAACCCTAATCCATTCGGAGGGTTATAAAAGGAATGTGTGGCTGGACTTCTCAGCCACCATCCCTCAGAGAGAAACCCTAAAGAGAGTGTTCATTCGTTCTTAGGCCATTTTGTGAGTATTCTAAGCTTGGTGGTGCCATTCCAAGGTAGCAAAGGAGAAGAAGAGCTCATTGGAAAGGCTAGAAGTGGTGTTCAAGTGTGGATCTGAGCTTTGCAAAGGTTGAAGCTTCATTATCAGGTAAAAAGTTCGGATCTTGATATATGGTTCATGTTATATGCTTCAAGTACCATTTTCTAGGTTTTAGTCCTAAAGGTGGAGACTTTTTGTCCAAATGGTCTCCATAAGCTTAGATCCATCATATTTCTGGTCTATTGGAGCTGTAGAATCATAAAAATGATATCTTGGACGTGATTGTTGCACCATGCATGAGATCTAGGTCCTTGAGTTGGAATAGAAGGATGTTAAGAAGTATTGGAGCCTTTACAGCCATGCCAAGGCTTAAAGGTCTCGACTTTATGGGTATAGACGCATAAACAGAGTCGGATCTA